TATTCTGGGTCGCAGCTGTGCTACAGCTTACGGTGGCACTCTAATACATACATAGGTCGAGTCTACCAAGTTTGGGGCTCGCGCGCGACGATCGCGGCGATGCGACCCCTCACCCTCACTACACCGCACATATTATGGCCTTTTAGACGATGGCGCGCGCGCCCAACCCCATGGTCTTCAGACCTGAAAATTGGCAGTCTTAATCTCACCCCCCTTCTCCCAAATCGTGCCAACGCCCACCCTCCCTCGAGCCAAAATGCAGTCGCGGGGATCGTCCATAGCTTGATTAATTGAGATTGCTGGGTTTTACGTAGTGCTTGTTAGGGGTATTTCCCTACATCTTTCAGCTGAGACTGGAGGCACAGTCAGCTTTAATGAACCAAAGCTCCACAAAATCCGCAGGATGCTCATGGAGCCAGAACTGAATCCTGGACATATTAAAGGAGTATAGAGTCACACCGAAAACAGACGGACTAAGAATGACGGGATTTATTCACAATACTGGAGAACTTTTCCTGATGGAAGAAAAACATAATTATTTCAAATCCACAGGATGTTTTTTTTCAAAGGATTATGAGGGAACAATTTTCGATGGTGAATTCTTAAATTCTTAAATAAAAATAAATCTGGTGAAAATATTTCACATTTCTTGATATTTGATTGCTATTTCTTCTGTAAAGAAGATGTTCGCAAAAGACATTTCGACATGAGATTAACGATTTTAGAAGAACTAATACAGGAAAAGAACTTTTCATATTGTGCGAGACCTGGTTCATTTGAAGTTTCAGTAAAAAAGTTTTATTCATTTAACAACAATAATTTACAATTTATTTGTAAACAATGTTTTGAGGATATTAAAAAAAACGAATACGCCAACGACGGTCTGATTTTCACACCAAATGACTTTGTCGGTGGCAATTATCTATATATTGACTACATTGATAAACCAAGATATTTTGTCCAGTCAGGATTTCAATTCCAGAAACTATTGAAGTGGAAAGACCCCCTATTCAATACAATTGATTTCAAAATACAAATTGAAGATAACACACATGAATTCTCTACGCAAACTATGTGTGGACTTGTTATGAAAAAAAAAAAAATATGTAGACTATTGGTACTATACATTGACTCTAACACGAGAAAAGCAGTCATGCAGGCGTTTGATGAAAGTGGATTTGTCAAATTACCTTTAATCAATGGAGAGTTACAATGCTGGAATGGAGATATAATCCATGATGGAAATATAGTTGAAATGTCTTTCGCCGAAGAAAAATGGAAACCAATGCGAGTAAGACACGATAAAAAAAATCCAAATCATTATAAAACCGCCATTGATATTTGGAACTCGTACAAAGAACCGGTTACATATGACATGTTGACTGAAATCTAGAAGCTTAAAATTAGTTCAACGATCTCTTCCGGGAAGAATAAATCAAGTTTTGCCAGTTCATAATTTTCTCTCAATCGGAGATTTCTCATTGTAAGTAAATAAGACTTTTCGTCTATATTCATATCACTTTCAAGAATCAGTCTGTCTATGAAAAAATCAGAACATTTGAACGGTATTCCTATCGTTTCAATTAGAAATTTGATTATGTGTTGAGTAATTTGATTTTGTTCATACCATGTCAAAAAATAAAAGAAAAAAGATGAATATGAGGGGAAATCGGAGTTGGGATATGATTCAATCAAAAGATTATCAGTCTTGAAAGATTTGACGATAAAATTATTATCATTTGTGATTATAGCTTTCATGAAGTCGTCAATAGCAAAAAAGTTATACATGGATGATTGAATGTAAATAAATGTTTGAAACAAACAATATTCACATAAGAAAAGAAATTGATGATTATTATAAATCGTCTCTGGAAAATGAAACAAATACATTTGCTCCTTATTCCACTTTACGAATTTTCTACAAGAACTACATGGATAGTGTGAACATTTTATTGTTGGAAATTTAGTCTCCATAACTATTGATATTATTTGAATAAACAAGAAATTTTAATTTTAAGTATATCTTTTGTTTTTTCATTTGTATATGAAAAAAGGTCTGCTAATACTGTTCGGTGAGTCTTTTAGATTGGGAGGTCAAGGAAATAGAAATAGAGGAAGTGACAAATCATATGATGAACAAATTTTAGCATCAGAAAGTCATATGAAATTAGTTGAAATTTTGAGAGGGAAGGGCTTTGATTTGGATGTCAGTATCAATAGTTATTCCACAAAATTTGATAGTAATTTAAGAGAAGTATACAAAAATTCATCTGCAGGATTTGCGCACTGCGCAAATCCTGCAAACGTCGTGATCTTGACTTCTCGATCGATGTAAAAACTCAGCCTAAGGACGCGTTAGTCTATCGTCTAGAGCAGCTTAGACGATGGTGGGTGTTTAGCGTAGAATCGCTGCCCGAGGACCTCCGGTGGGCTTCGCGGCCCGCCCGCTGTGCTAGCTCGGCCCGCCCGGGGCGTTCGGGGCCCCGCGGGCTGCGGAAGGGCGCCCCGTGCCGGGGCATTCAGCGCTGCTCGCAGCGCCCCGCGCGCGGCGTCTTCGTGTCGCTGCAAACGTGCGATTTCGCTGCCTCTGGCGTGCTCGTTTGTGTTTTCCGAGAGTGTGGAGGTAGGGTTGGGGCGCGGGTTGCCGGTTTTTTTTTTCGTGCGTCATGTCTTCGCCCGCAAAGAAGTCGAAGGTCGTTTGGATCGGAGAAAGCTACCGTCGAGACATGGACGAAGCTACGGAACGTCTTGTGCGTATAATGGAGCAGCTGCGCGTGCGAGAAGCCTCCATCTGCTGCAGTAATAATGGGACCAAAAAAAGGAGTACGCCTCTTCCACCTTGTGGGCTTGGTTTTCCTGAAAAATATGGGGATTTCGCCTACGAATTTGGGTCGCACAACTTCACGTTTTTGCAACGGATCTACGCTATTAGTAATGGCAGATGCGGGTGCATCGGCGTGGATGGTGATCCGAACATGTGTCCGCACGTGCTCTGTTCGTTCCGTGACTTTTATTTGTACAAACGTCATTACTTCAAGCGTTGTCCGCCCGGTGTTTGTGTTTTTGCTAGGAATTGTTGCTCGTTTTCGCAGCAGTCAGAGGCACACCATGGTCGCTCGATAGACCTTGTGAATGGTGCTCCTCTTACGGAGGAGCAAGCGCGAAAGATTGAGTTTGGCAACGAGACGTTGATGTGGATAAGTTTGCTGATGATCGCCGCATGGGAGGCGAACCCGCTTTGCAAGGTGATCATGGAAATACCTGCGGGCTATGGCCCAAAGCAGCCCATTTGCAAGGATGTGATTCATTCTATTTTTGGGCTTAAGAAAACTGCCCTCTAGCAATACGGACTTTGCGACCAGTGCCTTTATTTTTCAATGTATTAAGGCGGGTAATAATGGTTTTTTGTGCTCGCGTGTGGTCGCTCATAATAACACTGAATATTAAAATACGAGTGGTTATAACACAGGTAGTAATATTATGAATCATTTTGTGTTTAAGATGTATCTTGTAAGAACCTAATGTGCTTCGCACGCACGGCTTTTTCGAGAATTCCAGAATTCCAGGGGTGGTGTGTTAAATAGTGCTATGGTATTAGTGGTCATAGTTTGATGTAGTTATGTTTCAGGCGATTTTAAGGTAAGTGTGTTAAATAATAACGATAGTGTGTTAAATATAGCCATTTTTAGACCTACTGTGTTTAAGTCCGGAGCCCCACAGCTCCGCGAATATGAGGAGCTGCGCAACGGTCCCAGCCGCTTCGAGGGCCGCGCGCGCACGGACGAAGCAGTGGTGAAAACAAGACATCCAGGCGATTGTGTGGCGACTCGGGCGGGCGGTTCTAAGGAGTGGGATTGGACACGCTCGGCTCCAGCACCCCCCTCGAGCAGTTTTCGAGGCTGCGCAGCGTCATGGATCGATTGTCGTCACCTCCGCATCGTTTCGTCGCAAGGGCTGGGTCGTGGGGCTCAAAGCCGTCGGGTTGGTGTGGTCGGTGCTCGGGCACCGCGGCGGCCCGCGGGGGGCACCGCGAAGGTCACATCACCTCCAGCGCCAGGGACGCGAGGAGGAGGTCCCAGGTCGCCCCAGGGCCGAGCTGTACCATCGCCTTCAGCCGTACCATGCTTCTGAGCCGCCGGCGCATGCCGTTTTACCAGTCTTGTTCTACCCGGCTGTTCGCGCTGCTGTCGAAGATGGATTGACTGTATTTATCGAACTCGGCATGTCCATGCTGGTAAAAATGGGAGCAGAGTGTTGCCGCGATCTCTCCGATTCACTAGTGTGGCAGGTCGCGCTCGGACAGTCCATGGCTGAAGATGTTCGAGCTTTTGCACGTGCTGTAGAGATAGGGAAGTTTGGGTCATGCGACTCGAGCGACACGATAGTATCTACGGGATCATCGGCGCTTGGCGCCGGTGATATGATTGAAGAGCTCTTTCGGGCATTGATTCCACGCTCGATGACAGAACCCGACCGTGGATTCTTGGAACTAGGTGTGAATTCTTTGATATTGACCAGTATGGCCGAAAGAATCAGCACCGCCCTATCCATGAGGAACATCACACCTCTAGTCCTGCTCGAGCATTCAAGTTTGAATAGGCTGCGCAGTCATCTTGAAGTTGGGTGATCTTCGCCAGCTTCGACAAACAAAATCTTAGCGACAAGATCAACAAGCATGGTGCGTGTTTGCGGTGTGTGCTTCTAGCTCCCTTGAACGGTCTGAGATAGTCCGAGCTTCCGAAAGTTCGCCCTTCTAAGTGTCGCGTCGGGATCAAACATACCATTGAATCGATCATTAGACGCTTCTCACACATCAGCCAGGTACGGAAACCTTGTGTATAATATTGGACTACTTCAGCGCCACAACTGGAACATGTCCAAGTCAGAATCCAACCATGTGAATTCTGTCCAATTGTAACTGCTCGAGATCTCGTACGCTGCATTCATAGCTCGCGGCAAGCATCGCTCCGCGTTGACAAACAAGCTCGTCGGCGTTTATATTGGCTTATTTACCATCCTACTCGGTGGCTCTAGCTTTGGATCGTCTACTGAAAGTGCAAAGCCGAGCCTCTACGACGGGACGGCGAATTCGGTGTCGATAGCATCGGGCCGCGTTTCTTACGTGCTTGGCCTGACCGGCCCTTGTTTCCCCGTCGATTCTGCGTGTTCGGCCTCTCTCGTCGCGGCGCATCTCGCAACGGTAGGATTGTAGTGAACGGAGTGCGAAGAAGCGTGCGTCGCGGCGGGAGGCGTCCTCGAACAAGACATGTATGCTGCATTTTCTGTAGCCGGCATGCTGTCAAATCGCGGCCGATGCCACTCGTTCGATAGCCGCGCCGATGGATACTGCCGCGGCGAAGGCTGCGTCGGATTTATTTGTGATTCTCGTGGTGGTGAAATTGCGCATTAGATTCGCTCGACTGCCGTTCGATAAGACGGTCCAAGCGCGAGCCTCACTGCTCCGAACGGAGCCTCTTAGCGTTCGTTGCTCTGAGCTGCTGGTTCCGGTGTAGCAAACAGTGTTGCTCTTGAAGCTCATGGAACTGGCACTGCGCTTGGCGATCCAATTGAGGTTGGAGCGGCTGTGAGCGTGCTCTGTGCTGCGTAGTCTTCAGTCTCCTGTCGAACGATCAAAAGCAATATCGGGCACCTGGAGGCGACTGCTGCGGTTGCGGGATTGGTGTCTTTGATTTCGCTTCGGTCCACACACGTTCCGTTGTGTGCCTTACGTTTTCTTAATTCCCATCTTGGCTCTTTAGCGATTGACTTATTTCAGTTCCCAACGGAAGCTTCTCCGAGCACAATAGAATCCTCCGCCATGAGTTGATTGAGCTCGTTTGGATACAGCGGGACAATAGCCCATGGCGCGTTTAATATGCGAGGACTGATGAATTGTCAGACCAATAGTGTCCGTAAGCGATGTTAAGGTCATTAAGATAATTGCACAACAAAACGGATCGAAGTGAAATTCAGTTCTTCCTCGTAGTACCGGGCCAAGGCACCAATGGTTATGGTAAAAAAATAGAGTTCTTTCGGGGCGACCGGGACGATCGCGCATGGGGCCTTAGCGGCTATGGTCTAGTCACAGTTCTCCAAGTACACTGCCAAATTGCCTTCCCTCTATCGTGCTCGGCTGCAAACGGTCTCTGGTGAGCGGCGAGCAAGTCGATGGACGAAGCAACAGGACTCTGGAATTGCCCAAAGCGCGATGATGGCACCTCGCACCGGAGATCGCGACGTCAACACGTGCGCCTATACAGTCCTTTTGTCGTTGGCACTCGGTGGAACTCATGCATCTCTTGGTGACGTTCGCTTCAATCACTGATTCATGTCACAGACTCACAACAGCGTGCTTGGTTGTCGCTTTGACTCTACGGCGCGTACTTGGGCTGTTGTGACGCAGTCGTGACAGCCTCGAGTGCTTGCGTGCGGTTTGGTGCTGCAGGATGATTCGCAGGCCGAGATTTCCAAGATTGTTCACCAACCAGCAGGTCGGCCGAGAGGACAGTTCGCTAGGCTAGTGCATTTTCCGTTTCCTGCACATTCTAGACACCCGCGACCCAACAACTGCTGCATACCAAGTCGGAGAAAGACCTGCTTTCTGTCATAACGGGCGCTTTGGATGCTGCCATTTAGTTGAGCAATAGGGTGCCATGGCTCGGTATGTTTGAGGTCCGCGGGCGGCGCTCAAGTGTCATCACGGCTTGGAGACACCCACTAGACGGGCGCTTAAGCCCATGTACCTTCGTGGTTGAGCAAGGGGTTGTCAGAGACTGGCTTCCCAGCAAAAGCTAGTATGCTTCACACTCGCTTCCTTCGCTCAACGTCGTATCTCTCCAAAGAGCCACGTCAGTCAACTAAGGCAGCGTCGTCACGCTCAATCGTAGACTCACATATACGAGTATGTGCTCTCGGAGCCATCAATCTGGATAATACCCTAACACTGGAGGCTCTTGGAACCATGGTAGACACTAACCTGCCATTGATGTCCGCAGGTTTGGATTCCGTTGCCGCAACGGACGTCACACAGACCATCTCTACAAAATTTGGACTAGAAGTCAGCCCGACAATGCTTTTCGACCACCCAACACTAGACGCTATTGTGAGCGTTCTGTCAAAGAATGTCGACGTCACACTTGAGCTTGGTCCACGCAGCGTAACTATGAGAGGAGCTGGAGCCCTTAAGTTCAACGCCGACGTCTACCACGAAGCCACGATGCAATTGGTGTGTTCCGTGGCCCAGGAAGCGCTTGGTACGTCAGTAGACACAAACACTCCGTTGATGTCGGCGGGTTTGGACTCTCTCGCTGCGGCAGACTTCACGCAGACCTTATCTACAGAATCTGGGATCGAAATGACCCCAGTGATGCTATTTGACCATCCGACAGTAGAGTCCATTGCGGTCCTTCTTTTTGCGAGCCCCGAGAGCTCGTAGACGTCTGAGCCTCAGGTCATGCAATCCAAATTGAAAATTTCGCTGCCATTGTCACCGAGCGAAAAATTGGAATGGGCGTTAACGACGATTGTGGCATGGAGCTTCTAGCTCCCAAGGTCGCTTTGCTTGGACACGGCGCTATGCTCACTGTCGACGCGCGCGCACACGACCAACTCGAGTGCCCCTCTGATGCGATGGGCGACATTCAATTCCGTAGCCGCGAACTACGGCTCGTTTACGAATATCCATTAATGCAGTATTGATGTGCTCGTCTTCCGTATCTCAATTCTCGAAGCGAGGTCGGTGGATCCGCAGCAGAGATTCGTACTACATGTCGGCTACCGCGCCATTCATTGAGGTTATGAACAGAAGACTGCTTCAGTAGCGCGACATCGGCTCATGTATTCCAATGTCGGAGTATTCGTCGGTTGCGAGCCCAGTGGTCTGAGGGACGATAAAACGGACATCAATGTGTACTCTGCCAGCGGGACGGCGCTGTCGATTGCTTCCGGGAGGCTGGCGTACACACTTGGTCTCGTTGGGCCGTGCTACTCCGTCGATACCGCTTGCGCTTCTTCCCTGGTGGCCTTGCACTCTTGCTGAATAGCCCTCTGAGGTCAAGAATGTGGAGATTGCCTCGACATTGGCACCAAAATTCTCAGTGAAGCCGCGAATAAGATGACGTCGGTCGCTGGAATGACATCCTCGCGTGGATGATGCCATACTTTCGATAGTCGGGCGGATGGCTACTGCCGCGGCGAAGGATGTGGGGCCTTTTTGTTATCCTCCCACTCCAAGATTTCGGTCCTTGGCACGGCCGTGCAGCAAGACGGCCCGAGCGCGAGCTTGACCGCGCCCAATGGTTCATCGCAAAGGCGACTCATCGAAACAGTTCAAGATAATGATGCCATTTACCGGGCGCTCGAAGCGCACGGCACTGGCACGGCGCTCGGAGACCCCGTTGAAGTGCGCAGTTGAAGGGCAGTGACAACGTAGCTATTCTTTTCTCCCAGGTTGGCGCTGCTATGGAAGCTTTGTGTATGAACTCCAAGCCAACACAGTGCGCATCTCTGAAGTCGAACATGGGTCACTTGGAGGCATCGGCGGCTGTCGCGGGGTTGGCCTCTCTCGTGCTCGTACCACTTCGTACATGCTTGATCGCTATGAATGCGCAGCTCAGGCTGTCTGCGCCCCTTGGAAGCAAATCGCCCCAACCTTGAAGGTCGTAGGCTGAACACGCATCTGTTTTCGATCGTGTCGACATCCTTCGAGATGCCCGCTGAGGCGTCGGCCGGAGGCAACATCCAACGATTGTCTGCGTGTCGGCTGAGCTCGTTTGGCTTCAGCGGGACCATCGCGCACGGGGCGTTCGTGGCTGTGGCGTGATAAGGCTCAGTCCTGAACACAGCCAGGTCACTTTCGCTCTATCGCGCTAAGTGACCAATCGTCTCTGACGAGCGGCGAGCAAGTCGATGGACGACGCAGCAGGACTCTGGACTCGCCCAAAGCGCAACAACAGCACCTCGCGCCGGAGATCGCGACGTCAACACGTGCGCCTATACAGTCCTTTTGTCGCTAGCAGGCGGTGGACTGCGTTCATCTCTTGGTGACGTTCGCTTCAATCACTGAATCATGTCGCAGACTAACAACAGCCTGCTTGGTTGTCGCATTGACTCTACAGCGCATACTTGGGCTGTTGTGACGCAGTCGTGACAGTCTCGAGCACTTGCGTGCGGTGTGGTGCTGCAGGATGGTTCGCAGGCTGAGATTTCCAAGATTGTTCACCAACCAGCAGGTCTGCAGACTTGGACCATTTGCAGCGACGCGCTTGGCACGCTGCAGTTTGATAATTTTGGTAAGGCTATGCTACGATTTCCAGCCTCTTGAGACTCGCAAGCGCAGTCCGCTGGATTTTTCCTACTGTCGTTGGCAACTGCTCTCAATGAGGGTGAGGTTGGTGGCCCGTAAGAAATACTCGCAATCGACATGTATTCACATCAGAGCGCTGATACGCAGATAAAGCATCTGTATCGCGCAATGGTTGCAGATCGCGCGGTGCGTTTCCTCGTGGCAGACGCTGCATCCTGGGATAACACGGCGGTGGCGAGCGGGATCCACGTGCAGTGACGCGGCGCTTCCCTGGCTCCACTCGGCACTGCAGACATAACTTTCGAATCCAATGCCATCGGAATTGCCGCTCTGTCCTACTACGCTCCGAATCTAGCGCTGAACGCCTCAAGCGTGGAAGCATTCCACGACAGTCCCGGCAGATACACAATGGGGCGCGGTCAGGACAATATCACTCTTGTAAGCGACGATGAAGACACTGTCTCGCTAGCATTGTCAAGTTTAAGTAGACTGCTTTGATAGTGTGAGCTGGCCTTTATGGAACTCGGCCGCCTCGAGGTTGGCACAGAAAGCGCGGTGGACCGCGGCAAGTCAATCAAGTCGTTCTTGATGTCAATTATTCCAGGCTGACGACCACCACAGTGTTGAAGGGCTCGACACTTTCAATGCGTGCTATGGTGGGACAAATGCATTATTCAGTACCACGAGCTGGCTCCAGAGCAGAGCATGGAATGGCATGTACGGTGTCGTGGTCTGTTCCGACCCGGCGGTCCACCCAGATCCTGCTCATATCTCTGGTATTGGGGTGTCTTCAATATCCCTGGTGGTAGCGTCGCAAGCAGCATTGCTGCTCCAGCGAGAGCGCGCGACATTCATCAAGCACTCCTGGGACTTCTATCGGCCCGTCGGGTGGCCCACAAACGACGCGGTAATAGACGTGAACATCGCAACTGGTCAATACGAAGAGGCCATGATGTGGTGCCAGGGCTGATTTAGTGAAACAGTGGGTCGACGGGAACTACTGGCAACCTTTGATCTAGTCGCGTACCACAATAACGCTCCTTATCATTCAAAGAGGAACCTGTGACTCATGTGTGGAGTGATGTATGGTAAACTTTCCAAGGCCCAACACGAGAATTTGTTCCAAAAGCATGTTGAGACTGGCGTTGCCATAAGTGCCCAGAATGCTACCACCTACACGTGCCCGGTCTATGCTAGTTTACTTTCACTCGCTCTGAAGATTGGTGACAGCCTTGCTATTCAACGCACCCTGTGCATGGCATATGGATCCGGTTGCGCCGCTAGCATGTTCGGACTGGACGCTACTGCTGCGCCCGTGTACGCTTCAGATGTGCTTGTCGGTCTAAATAGTCGATAGCAGACATCGACAGAGGACGCCCTACTACTAGTAAATGCTTTCGAGATGACACACAGATGATTTGGATACGAGCCATCGCATCGCGAGAGCTGATAGGATGCAGCCTTTTATCTCAAGAGCGTTAGTGCAATGGGGGTCCGTGCCTACGAAGCCCATTCGACGGTTACGTTGATCAAGGTAGACTCGCTGGATTCTTCTCGTGTTGTCCGCGTCGAACTGGCCTAGGACTCAGTGACTGACTCCTTGGTCGAGGAGCTCACCCCAGTTCTAGATGATCCAGGACGAATCATGGTTTTCGCGTTTGCCACTGCTGCTGATAGTGGTGTCGAAAGCGCCGTGGCAGCGAGAACCCTTCTCAATCACTTCTCGTCACGAACCAGTCATCTTCCCATCGTCTTCTTGAGTCACGGGCATACGACGGGGGGGGGAATGCTGATTGTTGCAGTTGCAGATCTCGCGATTGCAACGTCTCAGTCTATGTTTGGACTTTCTGTCACGCTTCGTCAACCCCTGGGCGTTGCCCTGGTGGCGCTCCGCAGGCGAGTCAGATGCCACCTCATTCGGCGATGGGTGCTGCTTCAAGAGGACATTGACGCGAGCACCGCGCTGAGGAGCGGCCTCATTGAGATCATTACCCCGACAGGTGAAGAACATCACTTTCCGTGCTCTCTGGATCAGCGTTTAGCATCAGAATCGACCGTGGACTCGCAGATGATTCTCCCTGGAGTCTTGGCAACCGACACACCAACGCACAGTACCCAGCAGCTTTAATTTAAATACCCCCTGGCAGGGGTTGGAGAAATGTTGGTGGACGAAGGCTCTCGCTCTTGGGGGCGGAGAGCTGAGTACATTTACAATCTTCAGAGCAGAGGGATACATGCCATGGTGCTGCACACAGGTTCCAGGACT